AAGCTTATGTCTTAACTCTAATTGACACAGTAATCAAATGAATACAGTACATTTATAATTCACTAAATATTTCCTTTCTCATACCTTTTTCGCACCTTGTATGGAGTCATTAATGTTTCTCTCCCTGTTAACCACCATATATGAGGACATGAAAGAAGGAATGTGTACCTAGCTCAGAGCTATTATCTAAGATCTATTAAGCAGCAGCGGAATCACAGAGGCCGGCAGATGAAATTTCATTCTCACCTCCACCACATAAAACAGCTTTGTATTACTATTTCACAGGAGGTCTTAAGTTAGGTTAAGTGATTTGCTAAGGATCACAGAGGACAAAGTGTCAGGGCTGGAATATCTCCCTTGAACTCCTATAATACACCATGCTGCATACATAACAAAAAAGAAGCAATGCAAGGGCATGGAAAAAAATTCATGTTTGGGGGGCAAAAACCATTTTCCAGTTTACATCAAAAATTGCCTTAATGGCATGGACTTTACATGTGCTAATATATAATAACCCCTATTTTTGTTTTCCTGCTTGGTTTTATCGCAAAAAGGTCTTGCTGAGAGAACAGGAATCTAAATATTAATTTAGATCTTCAAACTCCATTGTTGCATCAATAGGCAATAATTAAGCTTACATTTCTAAATCACCACCTACCAAAATAATAACCAACCAAGAATGTAATACATTAGGTAACTGGCTATTCAATATGTACCATATGTTTAATTTATCTCAGTCTTGGGTATATTATCTCAGAATAACACTCTCTTCACAGAGGTTATAGGTTAATCTTTAAAATCCCATTCTGTTCTTTGCATGATTTTTAATTTCTACAGAGAATCTTGTTGTTTTTTCTTTTTTGGGGGGTTGGTGGGGAGTTGTTTTTTGGGTCGCATTTGGCAGTGCTTAGGGTTTACTGTTTGTGCTCAGGGATCACTTCGGGTAGAATTCGAGGGACAACATGAGGTGCTAAGGATTGAACACTGGTCTCAGTGTGCAAGGTAAACACCTGACATTCAGTACTATCTCTCCGGAACTTTTAGACTACTTCTCAGACTCACAGAGCCACCTCCTATCAATTAAAGAAATGATAGGTTCAATGCCCAACACTACAAGGTCCCCAAGCAAGCGCCACTAACCCACTGGGCATTGAGTTGGGGATAACACCTCCAAACCAAAATAAAAATGATAATAAGCACATGAGAGATATATTGTCAAAAAGGAAAGTATTAGTGAAAAAAAAATGGCATTTAGTTTTTCTGGGCTGGAGCAATAGCACAGCATGGAGGGCATTAGCCTTGCACACGGCCGAACCAGGTTCGATTCCTCCACCCCTCTCGGAGAGCCCAGCAAGCTACAGAGAGTATCCCACTCTCACGGCAGAGCCTGGCAAGCTCCCTGTGGCATATTCGATATGCCAAAAACAGTAACAAGTCTCACAATGGAGACGCTACTGGTGCCCGCTTGAGCAACTGATGAATAATGGGAGGACAGTGCTACAGTGCTAGTTTTTTTTCAAATGTCTTTAATATCTGACCTGAATAAAATTAGGATGGAGATCACTGTCACTGTGCTCCCGTTGTTAATCGATTTGCTCGAGCAGGCCCAATAACATTGTGAGACTTGTTACCGTGTTTGTCATATCAAATACATCATGGGTAGCTTGCCAGGCTTTGCTGCGCCAGCAAGATACTCTTGGTAGCTTGCTGGGCTCTCTGAGAGGGGTGGAGGAATCGAACTCAGTTCGGCCATGTCGGCCACATGCAAGGCAAATGTCCTACCAGCTGTGCTACCGCTCCAGCCCAGGATGGAAATAAAAAATATAAAACAACTAAAATTTCCTCATTTGTAATCCATTTTTTGAAGGACTGAAGAAAAAAAAAAAAGGACCACACAATATAAATTTGGAAAAAGATGAACTAAAATTTTAATATGTTTCCAGGTACTCATGGTTATTCTTTTTATTTTATACCAAAACTCTACAAAAGGTAATTTTTTGTCTAAGTCATGATGTAAAATCTGAAAGCATATTCGCAAATGTCTTTTAGAGAATGTCTCACTTTTGTTTTTTATTTATTTTACACCGGTAGGTACTCAGGCCTTCTGGCTCTGCACTCAGGTGTCTCTCCTGGAGGAGCTTGGAAGTCCATATGTGGTGCTGACCCAGGAATCGAACCTACCCACTGTACTATGTCTCTGGTTCGAGGGTGTGTTCTTTTTAGATCTTCAAACTCCATTGTTGCAGCAAACTCTATATAAATCCTACAGGGCTTAGTGAACCTTCACACAGCCCCAGCAGGAACTCTCTTACAGCTGTTTGCTCACCCTGTCCTTTTTCAACCAGGCACTGAAGCCAAAGTATGTTAATTTTCCATTGAGGATAACAAGTGCTTCCCTTAAAGGGAAACATGGAAAACAAACCCCAAGAAATACATTCAACGAAGGAGCTTGGCTAGTATGGGGGATAAGCTGTTCGACTGCTTGGAAAACATCAGAGCAGCTCATCCCTGCACAGCTCCAAGGGGGAACATCCCAGACAGAGCGTTGCAGGCCCATGCTTCATTTCACTCCTTCTCAAAGTGTTACCTCTTCAGAGGAGCGGGCCCAAGCAACCTCCTTGAAAAGTCTCTGATATGGATTTTCGCATGTCAGTCTCATCACACAGCTTGAGTGTTTTCAGTATGGTGACTGATGCCACACAGCAGCTTCACTGCAGTAACAATGGAATTAGACAGATGCACTCATGACTATAAAACGAATTAACGGCATTACAGAATTGCAATGATTAACTCTACTACAAAGACTTCGCTCATTTATGACATGACCAGGCAGTGAAACTGGTAGAAATTTCAGTTCTTATCTTGTTGCTTATAATGACCTCATCTACTTCATCAAAAGGATTCTCACAGAACAAAGACTCTTTGTTCATGAGAAAAACAGTCAACCAGAGAATTGCCCCATCACAAGTAATCACTAGGCAGATGAAGGAGGGTCAGAGAGACAGTGCAGGAGCGAGGCGTCTGCCTTGCATGTGGCAGCATAGCAGCCATCCAAGTTCAAATCCCCAGCACCACACATGGTCCCAGAGCACCTGTGAGCACAGACCAGGAATAGCCCTTGAGCACCTCTGGGGTTGTACACCAAAAAACCAAAGCCAAACAATCCCAAACAATGAGGTGCAGGCAAATCAATCACATACTATTTTGGGCAGTTTTCTCTTATTTAAAAATACATCATCTTTTAAAAATATATCATTAAACACGTTTAATCATCTAAATAAACGTGTTTCAAAAAGAAAACAAATATCTGTGTAGTCTTCTATAGTAATTGTGGGTTAAAAATGCTTATTTTGCAAATCTGAATTTGGAAATGAATTTAAAAATCCTAAGGAATTCATTTTAGAAAATAATATTGTGTGTAATCTCATTCATTACATAATTCAACTTTTGAAAAAATTAAGACATATTGCTTAGTTACAATATTATGCGACTGCTCAAATATTAAACTGAATCACTGAATCCATTTTATCATGCAAATGATACCATTCTGCACTGAAATCGCTTGTGCAATGTCAAGTCAACACAAAGAACTATGTAAAACTGTTAATCTTCCAGGCCCCCAAGGGTAGAAGATAGGAAACCTTGAGTAATACCATCGAATGGCAAATTAAAGCTCACACTAAGAAAGTGTTGGTAAGGAAGAACTTCCCTTTTAACTTTTTATGAGACACCCCAAATAACACATTCAACGCTAACTTGCCATTAAGTGGCAACTGCGTATGAAAAATGTATAACTTGCAAAGGCTACTAAGAAGCGGGAACCTGGTTACATTGTAAGACACTTGCACAGTCAGAGGCAAACTGGCAAAGTGCAAGGGGTGAGGAGCGATTAGCGGTGCAGGATCAAGGATCCTACGCCAGAGTCCTCCTCCCACGTCGGGGCCAGAGCGCTCCTGATCACAAGAAAAGGGTCTGGAGAGAATTCTTGGCAGAAGCATCGCCTTGGCGTTCTCCACCTCTCCAAAGCAACAGCAGGCTGTTCAGAGCCTTCTAGCAACTTGGCCCAGGCTGGCGCCCGAATGGGCGCTCCGGGATGACAAGCAGGTGAGTCCCCGGGAGGGCACTCAGACGGAACCCCGGTTGGGAAGCCAAGAGAGTTCCCCAGCCTGCACCCAGGTGGGTCCAGGTGAGTCCCCGGGCGGGCACGCAGGCAGGACGCCGGGCGGGAACGCCTTTGAGCTCCCCAGCCCGCACCCAGGCGGTCCCAGGTGAGTCCCCGGGCGGGCACGCAGGCAGGACCCCGGGCGGGAACGCCTTTGAGCCCCCCAACCTGCACCCAGGTGGGTCCAGGTGAGTCCCCGGGCAGGCACGCAGGCAGGACCCCGGGCGGGAACGCCTTTGAGCCCCCCAACCTGCACCCAGGTGGGCCCAGGTGAGTCCCCGGGCGGGCACGCAGGCAGGACCCCGGGCGGGAACACATTGGAGCTCCCCAGCCTGCACCCAGGCGGTCCCAGGTGAGTCCCCGGGCGGACACGCAGGCAGGACCCCGGGCGGGGACGCCTTTGAGCCCCCCAGCCCGCACCCGGGTGGGCCCAGGCGAGTCCCCGGGCGGGCACGCAGGCAGGACCCCGGGCGGGGACGCCTTTGAGCCCCCCAGCCTGCACCCAGGTGGGTCCAGGCGAGTCCCCGGGCGGGCACGCAGGCAGGACCCCGGGCGGGCACGCCTTTGAGCCCCCCAGCCCGCGCCCGGGTGGGCCCAGGCGAGTCCCCGGGCGGGCACGCAGGCAGGACCCCGGGCGGGGACGCCTTTGAGCCCCCCAGCCTGCACCCAGGTGGGTCCAGGCGAGTCCCCGGGCGGGCACGCAGGCAGGACCCCGGGCGGGCACGCCTTCGAGCCCCCCAGCCCGCACCCGGGTGGGCCCAGGCGAGTCCCCGGGCGGGCACGCCTTCGAGCCCCCCAGCCCGCGCCCGGGTGGGCCCGCGGGCTCGGCCGCACCCACCTGACCGTGCGGACGACGAAGTAGACGAGCACGGCGCCGCTGACCACCACCAGCACGGTCAGGGCCCGCTGGGTCATGGGCTTGTCGGCCGGGTTGGGGCTGACGGCCAGGCCGCCCCCCGCGCCGCCGCCCTCGCCCGCCGGGCCCGCCCCGGGGCTGCTGCCATTGGCGCCGTCGGCGGCGCGGCCCGGGGGGTGCGCGGCCGTGGGGCCCGGCGGCAGCGGCGGCAGCGTCCGGAGCTCCGGGGGCCCCGGCTCGGGCGAGGCCTCGGCCCAGGGCCGCGTCGGCGTCGGCGGCGGCAGCAGCAGCAGCAGCAGCGGCAGCAGCGGCGGCAGCAGGGCGCGGGGCCGGCGGAGACCCGGGCAGAAGCCGCGGCGCGGCGCCCGCATGGTCCTCCGGGCGCGCTCTCAGCACGCGGGAGCCGCGGCGCCCGCAGCCCGGGCTCCGCGAGGCACCATCGGGGCAGGCGAGGCCGAGGGAGGCCGAGCAGCTCCCGGGCCGGGCCGCTCGGCGGCAGGTGCTCGGGAACCCGGCCGCGGCGGCAGCTGCCAGGAGAACCGGAAGTTCGCACATCTCCGGCGCCGCGGTAACTAGGGACGCTCGCGGTCGCTAGCGTGGAGCGGCCGGCGCGTTCGCTGACGTCACGCCGAGAGACCGGCTGCGCCTGCGCCTGCGCCTGCGCCTGGAGGGAGAGGCCGGGGAAGCCCTGTGGGCGGGGTTGGAGTCAGAAGACAGGCGAGGTGAACTGCGCACGCGCCCCGTGGAGGGGCGGGGGGTGGGGGATCCCCGGGGATCCCTGAGCCGGGTCACAAGAGCTGAGAGGAGGGGCCGCGCTGGTGTCCACACCATTCAGCCTGGGAATCCCCATCCCAGTTTGCAAACTCTGGATTCTAGTTTCTGATTGCAAAACTGCGAAATCACTGACGTCGGATTTGAGAGGGGCTTTTCCCCCTGCCTCTAGGTCCTTAATCCCTTTGCTTCAGAGCACTTGGGTTGGAAGATTTTTAATTGCACATTCATTTTCTGCCCTTTTAAAACGAAAACCTCTTAAAACCGCCTAGCTTTACCACTAAGGTTCTTGGAGTATCCTTTATCCATGTAAAAAGCTTGTGGTGGAGAGGAAGAGAGAGGGAGAGGGAAGGGGGATCAGAGAGAAGTGGCCTTGTGCAGAGATGACCTGGCTCATTCTGCACCATGTATGTCCCACAGCAGCTCCAGGAGTGATCCTGAGCATGGAGCTAGGAGGAAACCCGGAACACCACTGGGTGTGTCCCCCGACTGAAAACAAACAAACAGAATGTAATGATCATGTGTATGTAGGCCCAAACTTGTGGAACTACCTTCTATCACGAAACTAAAACACCTAACATTTATTTTGGGAAAGACCAATTAGCAAACACAGGAGACATCTGACAAGCCACAAACTGGGTTTAAAAAACCTCTCATTTTCTTTCTTTCTTTCTAGGGTATAGCTCTGGAAATGCTGGTCTTAACACTAATTTTGAACAAAGCATTCCTAACCTGTTTAACCTGACATTGGTAACTTGGAACTTAAAGTTTGAATAAATGTTAACAAATAAACAAAGATCTTCCTGACCATAAGTCAAAATTGATCTTTGTAATTCAAATTCATGTTATTTAGTTAACTAGTCGCTTAGCGTTCTTGGTGAAGCAGGAGTGATGACTGTAGGGCTGTATTCATCCAAGATTCCCATATTCCTCGGTATTTTCAAGAATGAAAAGTACTAAGTAATATAGATGCTCAGAATTAGCAAAGTTTATTTGAAAGTAAGTAGGAGAGAAAGGAACTCCCCGGCAGAGGAAGAACTAAGTATAGCACTAAGTAAAATATGACTGATTTTGTGGGGCTTTTAATAGGGAGACTGGGTGTTTGTGTTACGTATCAAAGTATCAGAGGATTCCCATTAATTTCCCAGAGACTTATTGTTAATTTAGGGCCTATTCTGGTTGCTAAAATATCAACATCTTTCATTCCCACTTTCACTGACAGAAGCAGGTGGTTTATTTTAGACCTTTTAGGTTATATCTTTTACTACCAGCCCAGTTATTGCCCCCATTTTCTTTGAGTCTCCTGTGAATGCAAGGTCTGGGCTAAAGTTTATGACCTTTGGTGTGTAAACTATCCAATCTCAGATAGACTTTAGGACTTTGAAGGAATAAATTGTAGAACTCAGCTAAGTGGAAGTACAAGCAACAGTGGGCAAGGGGAAACTAAGACTTTCTCTGTTTAGTAGCTTTGCATATGCTAAGTGGTATGTTATTACATAGTTATAAACAAGATGTGATGCCTGCCCTCCTGGTGCTTATATTTTAGTGACAGTAACACATTTGGACACATTCTGAAATGTGTGTCTTATACATAATAGGCTTCTCAGTGAAAAATTGTAAAGGGTTATGACTGGTATTTACCTTGGTAGACACAAGATAGCAGATGAAAGAAAAGTGGTAGCTGGGGGGCTAGAGTGATAGTACAGTGGGTAGTGCACGCAACTGAACCGGGTTCGATTCCCAGCATCCCATATGGTCCCCTGAACACCGCCAGGAGTAATTTCTGAGTGCATGAGCCAGGAGTAACCCCTGTGAATCACCAAGTATGACCCAAAAACAAACAAACAAACAAAAAGGTAGCTGGAAGGTATCCACTTGCATACAGGCAATAGCAGATTTGTAGATGGAAGTAGTGGAGTGATGCCTGGTAAAATTCCAAGAAAGCATCTTAATACTTGGTTTCTGTATGACGAAGTCCACTGGAGATGTAGCCTAATTTCAAATTTTAACCCAAAAGATAGCAATGATTAAGTTGTTACAATGGAAATGATGGAAATGAATGAGGCTACAATCTCAGTGGTTGTTATAGAGAAAATCTGATTGGTCATTGTAGTATTGATCCAGTTTGTCACTGTATAGGCTCATTTACATCCAGAATAACTGAACAAATAAGACTGCTAAGGAGTGGGATATGTAAAGTATGAAAGTGCAGATCTGAGTTTCTGAGAAGTTACTCTGGAAAGCTACTGCTGGAGGAGTTCCTAGGATCTGCTGTCCTGGGCAAGGAGATTGCTGCTCAACTCTTATGAGCTGGAAACCAAGAGTTGTGAAAGCATGGAGGAGAGATGCTGCTCATACTCACCACCCTCAGGTACCCCAAAGCCAGAAGCTAGCCATTGTATCTATTTCCACCATAATGAAGTGGATTAAATGACTTCCTATATTTTCTCAGAACTTTAAGTCATACATTAGAGTGTCACTGACCTCCGTCCCTCAGACCTCCCAGTATTCCATATACATTTCCTGCCCCAAGCCTCAAGTTCTTCTCTAAACGATATCATATTTTACCTTGTTTCCTTATATTGGTTATTGGCATTATCGTTTCAAGTTTTCACTCCAATGAAGAATCTTGCAATCATCCTTTACCTTTGACTACCCAGCTGCAGCCATCCTTATGAGTAAATTTTCATTTTCATTTTCATTTCATCATCCTGTTATTCGTCGATTGCCTCGAGCAGGCCCCAGTAACGTCTCTTTCATCCTAGCCCTGAGATTATATTCAAGGCTCTTTAGGAGAATGAGACCCATCATTGTTACTGGTATTTGGCGTATTTGGTACGCCACGGGGAGTTTGCCAGACTCTGCCCTGTGGGCAGGCTGCATTCGATAGCCTGCCAGTTTGTCCAAAGTAGGAATGAGACAATAAGACAATAAGATGTCATAAAAATAAAGTTCTGATAAGATGTTCTTATCAGAACTTTTATGAGTAAATAGAACCTAAAAATTCTGAAGCAGTAGTCAGATTAAGGGTTCCAAATGATCAATGAAAACTATCGTCAATATTTTTCAAAACGTGATTCTCAGTCACCTGAAAAGTATTCAGTAAAATATTTTGTTAAAAATGAAAGTGTGATGCTCAAGGCCACTCCCGAGCAGCTGGGAAGAACTTCACCTACAGGAGAACCTGCAGAAAAACCCAGACATATGGGATCCATGACTGAGATCTCCAAGCCCTCTTGGAACATGAGGGGGCCTCCTCCACCCAGTTCCGCAGCTTCCCAGTAGCTTGGCAGTCACGTCCACAGATTGCCCCCATCACCATATAATCTCATCAACGGTCAAGACCCAGAGATTATGAAATAAAGCTCCCAGAATGGAGCAACACAGAGCATCCTGGAGTGTGTGGCTGCATTTGTGGCCGCACATCCTCTTACACTATAGCCCACTAATGTGCCAAAAGTTTCACACATCTGTTTGGTTTTAATATATATGCTGTAATCTCTTATATAAGGGCTTACATGGCTCCAGGGTAAAATACAACAATGTTAACACACTTTCCTCTTATGGTGGTGGGAAGGTGCATGGTGGTAGAATTGGTGTTTGAACATTATTTGTTATGAACTATTGTGAACAACTTTATAAAAATAAAAAATGAAAATGCTAGGTCATTGTTAATATTGCAGAAATTCTGAGCCCGGATATTTTGGGGGTTGAAAATAAAGGACATGCATTTATGAATTTTTGATAACATATCAGGGTAATCTTCATTTATAATGATGTTTAAGAATATTCTTTTGGGAGGGTAGGGGGTTTGAGACCATGTTCATTTGTGCTCGAGGCTTAGTCTTGGCTCTTCACTCAGGCATTACTCCTGGAGGTGTTCAGAGGAGCATATGTGGTATAGAGATTGAACTGCCTTACCCACTGTACTATCTCTCAGGACCTATTATCCTAGATTTACCTACTGTACTCTCTTAGGCCCCATCATCAATATTTCTGTAGGTGGTGCCACCTTCATCAAAAAATAAAAAATAATTAAAAGAAAACAAACAGACCGATCTTGCCCATATATAGGATCAAAGAGACATTGTAAAGGAATAATACATGATAAAAGCCATCAAAACAAGAAATTTTGTGTATAGAACTGAGCAGGGGGCAGTATCTGGAAGGGACACTTGAGACCTTGGTGGAGGAAAGTAGGCACTATGGTGGTGGGTGTGATGTAATTAAAGTATGCACAGAAAGTATAATTAATAGTATTGTAAATCCCAATAACTTAGTCAAAACAGTAAAATAAAAATCATGATTTCCCTTCATCATCATTCCGAGGTTCCACCTATAGAGAGATTGGCCAGCCTTCTGCTTAACCCCTAAGACCTATGATGAAATGGCCTGGTAGATCAGAACTGGTGAGTCCTCACAAGCTTCTGGACATTCAAGTTCTGTCAGTGTCAGTAATGCAACGGTCAAGCTGCATGTGATATAATTTGCATAGAAAGTGCTCTTTATCTCCTGAATTTGGGGGGAGCTATGGTTCTCCAATAGAGATGAAGTTATAATCTTTGAAGCAAAAGCATCAGGCAGTCCCAGTCTCCACCCAAGTTCTTTTCTAGGTTTCTTGTCTATCCCCGAGAAAAGAATTTCGAAAGGAGAGAAAGAAGAGAATACTTTAACTGCAGAATGATGATAGAGAATAGATC